TTTCAAACATAAATGTTGTAAACTTATTTTAATATTTAAGCTGATTTGTGTTATAAAATTTTTATTCACCTTTTATGGAGGTTCCGTAAAAGGGCAATAAAAATAACCATAAAATTTATTTGGTTTATTGCTTTTTTTCGAACATTTAAATGTTTAAAAGTATCGTTATATATTTGTTATTCAATTCTTGGAGTTAGAGAATGATACAAATAGTTACTTATGTCAAACGAAACACGATAAATGTGTCTGTATACATATTCAAGAATTTTTCGAGAAAACATTTAAAAAGTGAAAGAGGAAAAGAAGATTTCTGACATATTGAATGCAACATTGTACTCGTATTTGGCAAGGGAGTATGAAATCTTAATTTCCAATCCGCTAAAATTGTTTTTGCAGTCCTAGCTAACGCTATTTCCTTTTCTCTCTTGCCATACCTATGTCCTAAAGTCGCACACTGACATACAAAAGAAAATACTATAACCATGCACGTAGTTGGAAGTAAGAAAATCCAAGATACGAGTTTCAGTAAACCTACTTTTGCCTCGCTTCGTGCCTGCGAATCTGAAAAATTTATGAAACTTTCTACGCGCTGCTAGGAGTATTCTTTTCAAAGGGTCCATAACATTTACAGTATCTTCTATTATGAGAAGACGATAAGCGTATTCTTCTTGAGTATTCGTTTTAAGATAAATATATTTCTTCCCTTCGTTATATATTTCTTTGATAAATCAATAAATAATAATAATAATAATAATAATACATTTCAATCATCTTTCTACGATTGAATATACAATTATATTTCCATCCTTAAATTTGTTACGAATGATACTGTGTAAAAGAAAAAAAACAAAACTAAAGTACAGTACCTTTTTTAGAGAATTAACTACGATAACAATCTCTATTTCCAAGACTTGATTCAAAACGAATTTACGTAGACTTCTTCTCTCCTATATTCGAGTGAGGACTTCTTCTTGAGCGAACCTCGGAAACATCAGGATTCAATTCCGCGAGTATACTATATTCTACTTCTCTACTTGGACTTTTGAGAAGAAAGTAGTACACAAGAGAAGAAAGAAAGTGAGAGAAAGAGTAAGAATACTATAGTAAGACAGGTGGTAGGAAACAGCCGCATCTTTATTAGATTGAACTTACGGAGCCATGCGACAACCTAACTCGCTTTACGTCTTCCGTGAAATTGTAAACTGTGACGGGTCGACGAAACAGCAAAGTTTCTTCGACTCTGCTTTCTTAGCTACGTTCGAACTTGTTGGCAGCTTAACTTTCGAGAAGGAAGCAATGAAACGGAACCATGAGACCCATCCGTTGAAGTACCGAATGCTTCTAACTCGGCCTGATTACCCTTCAACGTGAGTAGCCGAACGAGAAGATATATCTATTCGCTTGGTTTTGGGGAACATCGTTGAGTCGAACTACTATGCCAATCTCAATACCGCAAACTATTTCGGATATTTAGAGGAATGTTAATATTCTCGATTAACTAATTATAAGATCCTTACGAAAATGAAGTGGAGTTAAGTAAAATTCTAATTTAATAATTTAATTACACCTTACATTTATATATATAAACATAAATACACTACGTGTCATGTGTGTGTGTGTGTGCGTGATAAATATAAGGAAACGAACTATTCGACTTGGATTTTATTGAACAATACAAAATCTGTTTAGAGAAAAGATAAGCAAACAATTCCGAGTGGTCTTTCTTTCCCCGACTAGTTTAGCTAATTTAACTAATTTAGTTTAATTACGATACAATTACTTTGAATAACTCCATTATTTGTTTATAATATATGCAAGATAAACATTAAATCAAAAGAAGATCAAAGAAAAAGAATACCTTAGCCAATATTTCTTCTTTGTCCGGTCCAAGAGAACGATCAGGTTTTGGTATAGGCAAACTTCGATAATCTTCGATGGTATATGGTTTATAAGTAGGCTTTCTGACCAATCTACTTTCGGAAAGGGTGCTTTTGAAGGGCGTTCGTATTCTAGTAAAATTATCTGAACTCTTTGGTGAATCCATAGAGACGCAAAGAGGACGCAAGGTCTCACAGGATCTGATGGTTTGAGGCAACCGCGTCGCGGAACGCTCGATGAGACGCCGGTAGAAGCTGAGTTCGCTTTGATCGTCCCTTGAGGAGCCAGAAAAGGAGATACGACCACCTCCTTCTTCCTCCATTCCTCCTACTACGAGTTTCTCGCGTAGACTGTCTCCGTAAATCGACAGGTTCGATCCCTCCGGAGATCGAATAACACGTTTGTAACGCGGCAGACCTGAAATCGAGAAAAACAGTGAGATACTTCGTTCAACCTACTACCACCGTCTTCGTCCTATTAAAATCGACACGTGTAATGTTTCAAACGTTTGAGATATTACAAGCGTAAATGTAAAATCATGTGTGTGTGTACAAAATGAAATCCTAATATTTCCGAGGATAGACGTTGATAAATATAAAATAGAATCGATAAAAACATCTTTCAAAATATCTTTTGACATATTTTCAACATAAATCCGATAGACACCATTCCACTTTTCAAAATCTCATCTCAATGTGATTTTATCCACGCGTTTACTTAAACTTACGGACATTTGTCTCATCCAAATTAGTTCCGCACGCCTAACTCAATGCCTTTGGACTACATCGAGCTTCCAAAGTGCTCCTACTACCTCCATATTTAATGACGCCATTTCTCTTCGTGAAATATTATCGTGTAGGTATCCGCGTGCTCATAATATTAAGAAGAGATTACAACAGGAGAGAAAAAGAGGATGGGATCCATCTCGAACCGACGAGATTACCCTCACTTTCCTCTTTCCACTTTCTCTCTCCTTTTCTTTTTTCTACAGCCATTTTTACAAACTTTACGATCGAGAAAGACGACGTCTAATCAAGAACAAAGAATACACTTTTTCCGACAAGACGCTTTCTTTATCCCTCCTCACTTGTTCTGTAGGAGCTTTCGTAAGAAGCTAAGACTTTACGTTTGTAAAGGGAATGAACAAACTATAACCGTTACCGAGCTAAAATAAATGTAAGTGGATTCTCTCTCAGTCTCTTTCTATCTCTCTCCCTCCCTCTCTCTCTCTCTCTCTCTCTCTCTCTCTCTCTCTCTGGAAAAACAACTAAATCAGAATTTTATTATGTAGAAAAGGCGAGTGCCAGAATTGCTCGTGGTAAATTCAAATGAAAGGACCGAATGTAATTGTATACGTTACGGTAAATTTAACAGCTTCATCATCTAAGTCCCATGAAAAACAAGGTATAACAAATCCAGCAAAATAAAATATAAAAAAAAAGGAGAATTGTTTTAAAAAGAATGATCGTTATTAAGTAAATTTTAATTAAAATACAAATTAAAAGTAACTAACTCAACCTATGTCGATAAACTTCCAGATAAGATACTTCGGGCTTTTTGAAGGTCTGCACATCTGACGTTGATAACACGTTGGCTAACTTTCTATGAGCCTTCACGGTCATCTCGGTAGTAGCTTTCTCATCGTCGATGCTTTCAACATGGAAACTGCATTTCGTAGAAGAAGAAGAAGGTGTAGTCTTTGAGAAAAATCCCATGGGTTTTCCTGAGAGACGATCATCCCCCTTTTTCTCCGGCCTTCTTTCATTCGCGTTCTTCTTTCTCCCTTCGTTACGATTTGTGCTCTTGTGTCTCTCCTTTATCTTCACTTCCGCTTCTTCTATTTCTTTCCTTCTTGTCGTCGTCGTCGTCGTCGTCGTCGTCGTCGAGAATTCTAACCGTCGGGACGCTTTTGCAAGTTTTCCTTTAGCAATTATCGCATTCCTACCGCTGAGAGTGTTCGGTTTCCTGTCGTGACTACAGTTCTGCACGGTTTCATTAGATCCTTCGCCGTCTGAAAATATTTTCTTTCCTTTCTTTTCCCTTCCCTTCCCTTCCCTTCCCTTTTCTTTTATTTTCTTTTCTTTTATTAAAGTAAAAAACATTTCCTATTGAAGACTTCTATTAAATCGAAGATTTCCTTTTGCTTTATCGACGACATCGCTTATTACATATTTCTTTCTTTTTCCAACTGATTTCAACGACAACAACATGATAATGTTCAAGCTTGAGCTATAAGCTTAAACCTTGCCATGTCTATTGGTGTACGTAAAAATTCAATAGGAATTTCTTTTAATATTAATGAGAAAATTAATATTTTATCGTAGATAATAAAAAGCAGGATAATTCTTACTATTTATTGAAGAAGATAATTGCGTAACGTGTTTCAAATAAAAAGGAGAATGATTTTGTGATTTTACTGATGTCTCTTCTTTCCGCTTTAGGTTAATTACAATATTATTTCTATCGGATGTATTATCAATGTTTAAATTACGATTTATGTTTTCCAAAGAATCAGCGGAATATATTGACATCGCAAGAACAATTCTTATTCATTTTTCATAATATAACAATTATAAAATAATTAATCACAATTAAAGAATATAAGAAATGTTTGCTATCGATTTACCTATAAATTGGTACTACAATACATTCATAGATATTATATATATTAATGCTTTTATATTTAATAATTAATACGTGTTTTGTTTTATTTAACGCATTTGTACAAATACCATTTTGCTTTAAAATTTTTAAAAATCATGTCAGACATTTGTATGATTATATACTACCTAAATATGTTTTATTTTAATTTCAATTTAATATTTGAAATCTTTACAAATATAAATTATTAGGGTTAACAGTAAAAATATTATTAATTAAATAAATTATAATAATATATATTATATTATTACTTAATATTTTTTTATTAAATAAATAATTTACATTTGATAAAGTATTTTTGATCAATCAATTTTCTTTCCACTTTTTAATTAATAAGGTAAATAATTATTAAATGTAAGACTTTTTCAATTTTCAATTCCACACATACACACACACACCACACAATTTAATAATTAATAAACAAAAGTGATTTAATTTCTAATTGTGTCCAACTTACTGTTGGTAACACTGAAATTTCAATTGTGCGATTAAAGATACGTAAACACGTGCATTGCTACAACGTCAATAAATAGTTTGTATTTAGTGAAGTGTTTTTGATCAATTAATTTTGTTTCAATTTTTTTATTGACGAAATTGAATAATTATTAAACATGAGTAAGACTAATAAAAACAAGAAGAAAGCTTCTACAAAGGTAATATATTTAGAGGTTACACAACTACCTGAAACAAATTATTAAATAAGAAATGTTACATATGATTAATATATTATTTTTGCAGAAAGAAAAAAAGAAAAATACTTTCGTACCCAAATCTAATTTAACTACTATTAAAAAAAAAAAAAAGTTAAGAAGTATCGATGACATGAAAAACAGAAATAATATACCTGTTCATAAAAATATTACAGTGCAAAAAGAAGCTATTAATAATAATAAACCTAAAATAAAAAAAAGGAAAAAAAACAAAAAGAAACCGCAGCAAAATAATGGAAATGATCAAACCAAAGGATTAGAAAGAAAAGGTGCAATAAAGAAAATATATAATAATCCTCCATATGAAACTCGAAAACGAAAGAAGATAGAAGAAAATACAGTTAATGATGAAACAAGTACCAAAGCTGAGGAACAATTCGACATGGACCAATATTTACAAGAAACGAACAATGAATTATTAAGGTCTTTTGATAAGGAAAATAAGAAAACGCTTACATTAAGAGAGAGGATGAGGGAATTACTGAAACCATCAAGATTTAGATATATGAATGAAGTTCTGAATAATAATACTAGTACACAATCTAAAAAATTATTTCAGGAAGACCCTAAATCTTTTGTAAACTACCATGAGACCTATAAGCTACAAATTGTGCGCTGGGCTTTAAATCCTTTAGATATCATAATTGATTCGATTAAAAAAATGTAAGTCCATCTTTTGTTTATCATATCTATAAGATTAATATTAACTTTTTCAATATTATCGGTGAAAGTCACTCACTGTTCGATGCTCATTATGTTCCATTGGTGACTACAATTACTCATTGGTATTCTGCATCCGTTTTTAATTTTTTTTTAATGTCCATATAGTGAAAGCATATTCATGAACAACATAGCTCTATCACAAGGATTTTAATAAAGAGTATAAATTATATAAAAATATATTTTATGACTATAGGCCTAACAATTATGTAATAGCTGATTTTGGATGTGGAGATGCAACACTTGCTGCGTCAATTCAGCAAACGACACATTCATTTGATTTTGTTTCTATGAATGACAAAGTAACAGCTTGCGACATGGCTCATACACCACTTTTAACAAGCAGCGTACACGTTGTTGTGTTCTGTTTGTCTTTAATGGGATCAAATCTATCTGATTATATACTCGAAGCAAATAGAGTTCTTAAAAAGGAGTAAGTAACACATACATATAAATATATGTGATACGATTATATATATATGGAAAATTGTTATTTTTGTTCCAGTGGTATTTTGAAAATTGCTGAAGTAGAAAGTCGATTTGATAATATTGATGAGTTTATTAAATTATTAAAGATTTATGGTTTCTCTAATACTTGGAAGGACTTATCCAAGAATTTATTTTACTTCTTAGATTTTAAAAAGGTCAAAGATATTACTACTAATAGTAATAGAAATAAACTGCCCAAAATTACTTTAAAATCATGTTTGTACAAAAAGCGTTAAGTAAATATAATATCAGTATATATAAACATTATTTTTTTATAACAAATATTAATTCAATAAAAATTTCTCTTCCACTCTTATTTATTTTACTATAATACAGATATTTTTTTAAAATATCAAAATATTAGTAACATGAAAATTTGTTCCATAACCCAACATTGTTCAATGTTTACTTTTCTTGAAGTAATACATTTAACACGAAATGGATAGTTAATGTATGTGCCAGCTTAAACAAAGTACTTATTTTACAGTACATTGTTCTGTACGACACAATTCATAAGTAAATATTAAATACAAATTATTTACAAATATATAAAATAATATTTATCTTCACTCAATGAACAAATGTAAACAATTTTCATAACTATAAAATAATCCATTATAATAATAATTAACATATATACATTTGATTTTTATATATATTATATAATTTATATAATGTACTTCAGAATATTTTTAATTGATCCAGATCTATTTCTTCCAAAATGTCTTCTACTTCATCTTTCAAACTTTCTATTCTCTCTAAAACTAAAAGCTATAAAGCAAAATAAATTAAATTTGACAGCAATTATTTGATTATACAATATATGAAATATTACTTAATGATAAACTTACATTAGCAGCAGTAATAATTTGTATAGCAGTTCGTTTTGTAAGATACTGTATTTTTTGTTGCATCTCTTGTGGATTTGCCTTAGCTATAGATTGCAAAGATTTATAACCAGCATTATATAATTGATATGCTCTACCCTATTAAAGTAAAATTGTTTATGTGTAGAAAAAGGTTTTAATTTTGATAATTAATAGTAAATTGATATAATATACTATTTTCACTGTTGGTAGTTCCATCAATACTTCGAGTTCTGGAGGGCAGCAATAAGATAATTTTTTACTAAAAGAATTGAATATTTCTTGAAATGCCCAAAATTCATCAAACTCCTGTAAGCAGAATTAAAAATTATAAAATTTATTTAACTAAACTTATAATAAAATAAATTAAAAATTTACCTTACAAAATCTAACAACAGAATAAGAGAAAGATGATACTGTGTTCAATAAATTTTGAACGATTCCTCTGTTTACTTGGTATTTATCAGCTACAGAATAAATCGTTTGATGATTCCATAGTTCATAAATCATTAAAGTGACATAAAATCTCTGAAGCACTTTGAACTTTTCTTTCTGTTTTAAAATACATAATTTTAAAAATTTTGTTTATAATTTAAAATAAAATATTTTTGTATATTAAAATATTATACCATTGATGTTATTCCGTAATGCAATTTACTTATCATACATTCGTTTATTCCTATAAGTCTTACAATTTCCATTTGTGCTTCTGATAGTTTTGTTATCTATACAGAAAATTTTTTTTCCTATTTAGAAAAACTAAATAATTATAATTTCATATAAAAAATAAAATATTTAATTTACTTACTGCATCATAATAAACAGATCCTATTGGTTGTATTTGATTGATTATGTTATAAGGAGTTATCAAATATAAAAGATGAAGACAATCAGTTAAAATCAAATGTTTTTGTGCTTTTTTCAGATCTTCGTATAATTCATATGCGCATTGTAAATCTATACCAGCTTAAACATAATTTTATTCGATATTAAACAAAAACATCTTGAAAATTAATATTGTCAAATTGACACTACAAATATTGAGTAAAAATAAATTAAAAGTATTCTATAAATGATACCTTTCATAGCAGCACGCCCCAAATCACAAAGTTCTAATTTAGTTGTAGACGATAGAGCTATTTTTGGCTTTTTCTTTATTATTTCAGGATTTTCTATAGACATACTTTCTTGAGATGGAATAGCAATACTTACAGAGTTAACAATATTACATTTATCCATGTTACGAATTTTTAAAATGCCATTCTTAAATAAAAGACTTATTGTTTCATCCATTACTTTTTTAATATCAATATTTAGACGTATTTGTTGAACACTAAGTAAACTCTTCGTAATTAAAGTGTATAATTCAGATCGAGTTGTTGCTATAGATAATAATATAGCACTTAGAATAAGATTATTTATACCTCTGTCTTTTTCTATATGTAAAGTGCTTAATGAATCATCCATTTTTGAAATCAAAAGTTCCTTGACCTATGTGGTATAGAACATATTTGCATTAAATACTAAAAACATATATATATATGTTATACAATAGTACCTTTGGAAGTTCATTACTCTTACAAATAAGTATACTTTCTCCAATATTTCCTAACCCAGCACGACCAGCTCTTCCTATCATTTGTTTATATCTACTAATATTTAAAAATTGATTCCCAACATATGGACTTCTTAATATGACCTGTCAATTCATATTAAAATAAAAAAAGATATAATAATTGTTTGCATATTTTTGTTTAATTTGACCTACTTACTCTTCTTGCCGGTAAATTTATACCTGCCGCTAAAGTTGATGTACAACATATTAAACATAGAATCTCTTCTCTAAAAGCATCTTCTAATAATCTTCTTTCTTCAAATGTAAGACCAGAATGATGATAAGCTACACCAAATTTAATTGTTTCTTTCAAAATTGGACATAAACCTTCCTCTGTTGTAAGTGCTTTCAATAATTTTTGTTTTTCTTCCATTTTATGCTCTTTCAAGGAACTGCAATAAAATGTAACTTAATATAAATTACTTTTTATATCTTACTATATTACATATTTGATTTAATCGAAATATTACCTGAATAACACTTTTGTCATAAGTTTAGCAATATTTTCACAATTTTTTCGATTTGAACAAAATATAAGACATGAATCCTTTGGTACAATATCCATAACTAAGCCACCAATTTTATCTGGATCTATCACAATAGCTGTTTTTGAATACTTCAAAAAACAAACATAATGATAACATAAATATACATATAAAACAAAATAAAATATATATATATATATATATATGTTATGAATTACCTACAGAATAATCTACTTTTTTCATGTCTGTTAATACTTCCTCCTTGTGTAAATCAATTAACCACATAGCATCTTGACATTTAACATACTCTTGTATATGAATAGGCCGGAAAGTTCCAGTATATAACTCTGCATTCAGAAACTGGGCTACCTCTTCTAAATTTCCTATAGTTGCACTCATACCAACTATGTGTATATTTTCTAAAAAATCATAAATTAAATTACGTATATAAAAACAAGCTTTATGGAAATATTATTGTAAAATGGAAGTTATTGATTTAACCATTCATATACATCATTTTTGTAAGAAGACCTTCCAGTGTAGCACCTCGACCACCATTTTCACCAAGTAAATGTAATTCGTCAACTATCAAGAGTCCTATCTGCAATTAAAACGAAGATTATATATACAAATATTTTATTCATAAATTTATTATATAAATTTACATTAGCAGCATATTTGACTTACTTCATTTAGTCTTTGCAATTCTATTAGACTATTGATTAATCCTAATGCTTTTTCTATTGTACACATATAAATACTATTCTTTTTATGTCGTTTTTTAGGGGGATACTGACCTTTAGTAGAAGCATATTCTTCCACCAAAAAACCTAATTTTATAGCAAATGGTGTCATTGCTTGTATCTAATCATGAAAAACAATGAACATATATTTAAATACATAATGCATATATAAAATTAAATTATTTTTTATATAATACATAATATTATATATATACCTTTTCTTGTACTATTGCAACGAATGGAAGAATGAAGATAACATTCTTCTTGTTACATACTATTTCTTTGAGCATTAAAATCTCTGCTACTAAAGTTTTACCTCCACTAGTTGGAAGAGCATAAATTAAATTTTTCCTATTTTTTATAGCATCTAATTGCAAACATTCATCCTGCCAACCTTGTTTGTAAAAATATATCATGTAAAAAATAAAATGAATATTTGTTTATTTGTATTATACTTACTGTATAATGTATCAAAACCCTTAATCTTATAAATTAAGTGTTTTACAGTTATCGGAAGTCCATAAAAAGAGTGAATGTTGCTAGCTTTATTATTAAACTGCATAGTTTTTTGTGTAACTTCTTCATTACTTGAACTTATTTTTTTGATTGAATTAATATCATGTCTAATTTGCCTCTTATCCTCTGTAATATTTAAAATTGATTATATATATTTACAGGGTGTCTTTGTAACTAGTAGTACAAGCGATCAGGGGGTGGTTCTACATGAAAAGCTAAGTTGAAATGGTAGAATACAATTTTTTCATATATATGATTGTTTCCTAAAAAAATTAATATGACAATTTATACCGCTTGTACCACCAGTAGCAAGAGATTTTATATAATTCAATTATTTAAGATTATGAATATTACCTGGCTTATTCTGTTCATTGTACGGTTCAATAAATGTCGTGTCGAACAAACTATTGTTTATCCATACACATTCATCTTTCAAAAACTTGTCTGAAGTATTAATTAAATCAGTTGTTTCAATTTTGTTACTTTTATTTTCAATTGATTGTTCTTTGCATAATTGTAACAAATTAGAAGTTGATGGTGTTCCAAAAGATGTTTTTGCTTCTTCATCCTTAGCAGAGTTATCATTGTTAATTTCATTACAAATGTTCTCTTCAATATTTTGTAATATTGTATCATCCATTGAAAGTATAGAAGTAATTGGATCTACAAATTTAGATGATACTTGTGCAATTTCTTCTTTTTGTATATTATTAGATAAATTATCAAATACATTTACATCAAAAAATGAATTCAGATTAGTGGACATAATGTTATTTTCAGTATCACAAACAATTTTGAATTAAATCAAACTTAGTCAGATATTTTATGATAAAAATTTGTATAGAATTAAACAATTAGTTTTTTTTAATTCCTATATCTATATTAATAAAGATCATTCATTATTTTTATGTTCATTCATATACTTCTGTACAAAAAAAGTATGAATAATATCCTAATATTATAAATATGTAATTTCATATGTGAAATAAGAACGCTTAATAATAAACAAAAGTATATAGAACGCAACGCACGTGTCGGACAGATAACAAATCCACCAATAAAAGTACAAAGTATAGTTCACATTTAAATATATTATCATTAAAAATATGGTGGAATAAACCAATAAGTAACTTGATTAAAGTACAATCATCTTTCGGCAGGTGGCCCCACTTGATATTTTTAAGTTATCATTCCTACACAAAGAACAATAAATATCGATCTTTGGAACATTGATCGAAGAATATATAATTATTCATTTTTCGTATAAAAATCGTAATACTATCAATAATTATTAATTTAATAAACGACTAAGAATAAGATGATTCAAAAGCATGATGCGATTTAAGATGCATTTTCTGCAATAGGCTGACTTCTACATCATCATTCTTTTTTATTGTTGATATATATACGTATATATTTCTGAGGCACGTGACACACATCTACAGACTCATACATACATACATACATACATATATATATATATATATATTCAACAATATAATTGTTTTGATAGTAGAACTTACAGCGCCTTCCTCTTGCGATAGATGATTCGTAAAGATTCAGTGGAAACTTCGTATCGTCGTCACAACAGCGCAACTGCTGAAGTTTATACGTCACTTGTTCGTAATATCAATCAATTTCTAACTTATTTACGTTTAAGCGTCAATTACACCAATTGGATATAAGTTTTTGGAAAGTCTTTGGAAGTGATCAAGTGTTTTGTAGTGGTAGAAAATGAAGGAAACATTAATCGCGCTTTGCGCGATTTTAGCTGGTAAGTATCGTCCTTTGTTCTTTTACGACGTAGTGGATTACTATGTCCATATCGATTGTTTATATTTTAGTAGCAAATCAATGATATTAAAGGAACATTTTGTGATCCTCTTTATTTTTTATCCTCATCTTTTAATTTTTTTATATCTAGACACTTAAATTAACTCTTTATAACTATGTACGATTTTCTCTCTCTCTCTCTCTCTCTCTCTCTCTCTCTCTCTCTCTCTCTCTCTCTCTCTCTTTCTATATATATATGTATATATATTTAAACGAGTAGTCATGATAATGACATTTCAAAGTCTGGTCATAGATTGTAAATTTATATTATCCAGAAAAAAGAAACTCATTCAGCAGACGAGAAAGGTGACTCAGACGTTAATAATGTGCTTCTGGAAGCATTAATCATTTGAATGTATCTTTTAAACATGTTCAATTTATAAACAAGTATAAATATTATTAATTAATTCATATTTATTAAGATAATTTCTTTTTTAAAATCTTTGTTTTGTAGTATCCACAGCTAGAATAGTTATTACAGCAGAAGGAGAAAATAAACCCAATAAATTGGGAGCTCAAGAATGCACATGGGGACCAGCTTATTGGTGTCAAAGCATAATGTAAGTTTAGTAATCTAAGCATTTTTATGCAAATAAATTTTATCTCATAGAAGAAAATAATGTTAATATTAAATCTACCATGACGGGTCTAATGACTTTTTAAACTTAATGACAAATATGCGCAAGATTTATTCAACATTGTCAAAACCTATTGATTGTTAGATTTTATTTTTAGTTTGACCATTTCAAATAATAGTGCTATTTTGTGAGTTAAAAATTTTCATTGCGTAAATGGTATATTTTTTGCTATACATACATCTATATGTTTAGTATTAAGCTTTGCTGTACTACTTTTAGAAAATATTATTTAGAATAAATGTCTATCTACAAATACATTGTCAAAGTCTAATTTTTCCATATTTAGAATATCGACTATATCAATGTTATCGACATATATTATAATAAAATAATCAAATTATGGTATCTATTCTATTTTGCTGTTTTTGGATATAACAGAACTTCTGCAAGCTGCCATGCCACTCATCATTGCATTAAGAATATTTGGGAGAAAATGGAAGTTCCGGAAGATAATGATACAGTTTGTGGAGTCTGTAAAGATATGGTACAACAGGCACGAGATCAATTGGAAAGTAATCAGACTCAAGAAGATTTGAAAGCAGTCTTTGAAGGAAGCTGCAAGTTGATTCATATTAAACCAATAGTGACGGAATGCATAAAACTTGCTGATCAATTCATTCCTGAACTTGTGGAGACTCTAGCTTCTCAAATGAATCCATCTGTAGTATGTTCAGTAGCAGGTCTTTGTAATTCAGCGCATATTGATATGTTACTGCGTGAATATCAAGAACAAACGTCAGAGGTAAGATTGTCATTATTTCTTATTTCACAATGTAAGCTTCTTTGTGTTTGTAGTTCTGAAAAAATAACTTATTGACAGATAAATGTTTATGTGTAATATGACTGCTAGATATTTACGAATTTTACGAGATTAGATATTGCTAAACATAGAACAGAGTTCAATATAAATAAGAAGTGAGCTAAGTCTTTATATGTTTCGATGTAACAAAACATTTTTATTAATATGATTATGTTATTTTTTATGATATTATATTTTTAGAATATGAAATTAAAGTCCGTATCATTGGAGAAAGATGAACTTGAACCTGATGAATGTTCTAAATGTTTTACAATTGCAACCCACATGGAATATAATTTAAAGGATGTACCAAGGGATAAAATGTTGGAACAAATGCTCAACATCTGTGGAGATTTCAGCTCATTTTCAGATGCTTGTTCGTCCATTATCCTCACTCATTTCAATGCAATTTATTCTCATCTCCAAGATAACTTTAATGCACAGAATTTGTGCCATTTATCAGGCCAATGTAGCGATAAATTCCATAAACATGAAGATGGAACTGTAAAAGTATATACCATAAATACTATACTTTAACGAAACATATATAGTAAATTTAATACATACATTAAATTACAGCCTATAAATGTAGAAGTGAGACCACTATCCAGTGTTGGTATGGTTGAAGTTAATGACGATCTTCCATGCAAATTATGTGAACAGCTTGTAGGTCATTTAAAAGATTTGTTAGTAGCAAACACTACAGAAGCTGAATTTCATTTAGTACTTCAGGGTCTTTGCAAACAAACGAAATCTTTTGCCACTGAGGTATGTATTCTGCTTTTAAATAATTTTTATATTTATCTCACTAAATACACACACAATCACAAAATTTAACTATATATTTATACAGTGTAGGGCGATTGTTGATGAATATTACCCAGAAATATACATGTATCTTACGAACAAGTTAAATGGCAATGCTATATGTCAAATGTCTGGTATCTGCCCCAGTCCAGGAAAAAGAATAATTGTATGTAATAATTATATGAAGCATTATTTTAAATTAATTAATAATCATTTAGTAGTTTAATATATTTTGACTTTATTGTATAGGGTCCAATTGCACCCCTTCTTTCTGCAAAGGCAACAGAAATTGGCGTACGTATTTTAAATAATAAAATGGAACAAGAAGTTGAGAAGAAACATCACAATACAGAAATAGAAGAAATGCAATTACCATTTGAAAGATACGGTGTTTCTTTCGGTAGTTCTATTGCGTCACAACAAACAGATATTGGAAGCAAAGAAGGATGTGCACTATGTGAATATATACTGCATTATATACAAAACGCTATTACGGATCCTTCTAACGAGGTATTCATTATTTGATTAAATTTTATAATATGAAATTATACAAAAATTAATTGATTATTATTTTAAATATGTTTTTAAGGAGAAAGTGAAAGAAATGTTTGGAAAAATATGTAAAAAATTACCAGATAATATTGAAAATGAATGTCAACAATTTATTAACACTTATGGAGATGCAGTTGTAGCTCTTTTAGCTCAAGAAATCGACCCATCTCAGGTAATTGAATAATTTTTTAAAATATTATACAAGATGTTCGTGCAACTTTTTAATATAAAATAAACATTGCAATATATCACGAAATTTTAATTAGGTATGTCCAATGATCAAAGTATGTCCATCGGAAGAGCTGATAGAAATTTGGAATGAAGCTCCTAAAGGCTACATAATTGAAACGCATGATAAGCCAAGCTGCCCGTTGTGTTTACTTGCTGTAACACAAATTTATAATGCTATTAAGGATAATAAAACAGAGGTAATTACATTAAATCAATTAATTAGATTATTTGTTTAGATTTCTTTTTTACATATTTCCTTATGTCTAGATGAAAATAAAAGATGAACTTAACAAATTATGCAATCATTTGCCAAACACTTTGATAGATCAATGTACAGATTTTGTAAAAGAGTACAGTACGGAACTAGTCGAAATGTTACTTGCTGATCTTACACCGCAAGAAATTTGTGTTTATATTAAATTGTGTAATCCACAAGAAGATCCAGGACCAAGAAACTTCTTCTTAACTGATAAAGATGGTGAAATAAGTAAGTCTAATTAATGATTAATTATTAAACAAATTTAGAATTCATGTAATACTATCTTTTTTTTTTATAATTCAGTGACAAATGAGATACCTGATTTTCCACTACAAATGAATACTAAAAATAAAGTAAAAAACAGTGCGACATGCGTTATTTGTGAATTCGTGATGCAGTATGTTGATAAAGCAATGAGCAAGAAAAAAAATAGAGATGAAATAGAAAATATCGTTTATAATGCTTGCAAACATCTTCCAAGAACAATTTCTGAGGAATGTAACAAGTTCGTTAGCCAGTATGTTGATGTTGTGATACAAATTCTTTCGGAGGAAGTTTCACCAAAAGAAGTTTGTACGATGATCGATTTGTGTACAGTTGATCCAAAAAAATATAAGGTATGTGTATTCTTACGTTTCTTTGTTCTTATATCTCAATAAGTTTGTGATTATATATATAAATAATATTTGTTTATAATCCTAACAGAATCTGTTAAATCTCTTAGATGTTAGATCGGTTAGAGGAATTCGCTTTGTCAAAACATCTGGATAATCCTAAAGTAGATAGCATATAAACACATAAGCAGTGATGCATCATGATATTTCTTAAGATAAGAAGCTGATTATAATTGTAATAATATGTAAACATTTTATGTTCGTGACAATTGGCTTCAAAAAATATAATAAATAAAAATGAATCGATTGTCAAGGACATAGCGAATTAAAGGATCTTCCACCTAAATTTCGCAACCATAAATTATTTAATTTTATTGCGAATTGAAAAAGATAATTATAAATAGATTGCCATTAATACTGCTGCAAATAAATAGCTTTGCCTTTAAATAAATTTAATTCAACACTCAATGATAATTATTAAAATTAAATAAATTTAATCTCACATTTCTTGATAATTATTCTTAAAAATGAAATTAAATTAATGTATTTTATTTAGATGAAGTTATGCGATTTATTCTTACATCAATATTTGCATTAGTTTAAAATTAATTGTGATAATAATAACATATTTCAAAATAAAACATTTATGTCTCAATATTTAACATTCATGGTTAATTATATACTAATAATTATAATCAAATATTTTTTTAATTTCAATATTTTGTGAAATATGTAATGTATAATTATGAATATTATTATACAACAACGGCATGTAATTCTATTATCAATTTAAAATATAACATATCCTTTCCGTTTTAAAAACGATTTAATAATAACACTGGCATTATCCGTAGTTTTTTAAAATTTTATTATTGTCTTCTTGTCTATAGTAAGCAGATATATGGAGAAGATCACATTATGTACGTCACCTTACGTTATGATTTTTTATCTCATAAAAATAGTATAGAAATTTCATAAAATTAAAAATTTTAAACATCTTATTATTTTACTTTATTATTATTAGTGTTGTTTTTTCTCAATATTATTAATATATACATAATATAAAATATGTAGAAAATATAGCTTTATCTTAAATATACATTATCTTTGATAAAATGTTCGGAAAGATTAACATCTTAGGCTGCAAAAAGAATGGTAGGTAAATACAACAATTTTATTGTTAATGTCAATAAGAAAAAATAATTATTGGTATACATATATATGTGGAGCATTTAACATTTAATATTGTATTGCAAAAATTGCATATTTTTGTCCATTCTGTTCACAGTCTTTGTATCTTATAGATTTTGTATTTTATAGATATTGTGCGTTTAAAATAAGAATTATCACAAATTCTTTTGGTACTTTATATCGTCCATATTATGGAGTCATTAATAATCTTCTTCTGATCGTATTAGTACATACATTGGGACTAAAAGTTGAAAAAGAATTATAAAAACAAAATTATTATTATTATTATCATTATTGTTTAATAATATTAACTTAAAATTTTATCAAATAAATAAAATTTCAAACCTTTGCGACCTTTCACGTTTCATAACGAGTTGCATTTCATGTCGCCAGCGGTAAATGTTTGGATATTTGTTAACATTAATAGGGGACGAAACAGCATTGTAAACAGCATAATCTATTCTTGTTGGTACGTCTCTAAAAAGTATGATGCATATTAAAAATTTATCATTTTTAATAGATTAATAATCGTATTTAATTACAAATTAGATTATAGGGTAGTTTCAAACATTATTTCCTATATTACTGACTTTTCAATGAACAATGTACAGCCTTCTTCGGCACTATACATATCATCTTCTGAATCAGAATTTATCAATGGTGGAGTAGATGGTGGAGTGAAAAATTCTGCACCATCTATGAACCATAAATAGTATTGATTAATTAATCATAATAAATAAATACTCATACACATGTATATTATTTATATCTTATAAATTGGATTAATTATTACCATTATTTTTTATGTCAAGTTTACTTTGTGAATCATTCCATAAATTTGTAATTCCTGATAGGTTCAATAAATCTAAATATAAATATATTTTATTAGGAAATATTTTTAAAAAATGTAAAAATTTATTATACCGCTATTTTTGGATTAATTTCTTTTTAATGTTTGTACAAAAGACTTACTTCCATCATTATCATTTTCATCGGATTTGTTCAGTAACGAAATTGATTGTAATTTGAGGCATAATTTATCGAGCTCATCAACGAATTCTGGTTGTGAATCTATACTGGATTCATTAGTTGTTTTCTATAAGATAAACAATGTATGTATATGTGTATATATGTATGTATTTATAATTCAATGCTTGCACATACTTTATCATAATAATATGATTGTTTAACAAATCTTTGTTCCAAATATTTTTCCAGCTTCATCAAACCATCGACACAACGAAAATCAGCAAAATCATTCAAGAAGTGCCAATATTCTTTCCAAGATACTTGATATTCTTCAGCAAGATTTCTATATATAAAATAAGTTTTTAAATAATTCATTATAATTTCTAATGTAAGGTCATAAAATATTTATACACACCGTCCGATACGTTCAAGTCCCTTTTCTGTATCTTGAAGTCTTAATGTTAAATTTTCATTAGAAGAATTTAAAATATTTATCTCTTGAATATCTTTCTTAATAGGAGTATTACAACGACGCGGTGGTGTTTTCCATTTTCTCCTAAATTCTATTGCTTGTGTCTTTGACATAGGTCCGGCAAATGCACGTACCTTGACACATGGACTTATGGGATCCCTATTCAAATTCTAAAATAATATTTAAAAGTTATAATATAATCTTAAATAATTATGAAGAAAATGATTATAACAAATATACCAATGGGCTTGTTGGAGAAAATGGTTCACCAATGGTTGGTTGCATTGTTTTGTCATCGGCTCTTAATACAGGAACATAAAATTGTTCTTCTAATAGCATATGTATTTCTTTTTTGAGGGATTCATTTTCTTGACCTTTTCTACTGCATATTATCTACAACAATTATAAAGAATATTAAAGTAATGTACAAAAAAATAAAATATAGTAGGAAGACTTTCTTAATTGTATTTACATTAGCAGGTGCTTGATTGAACTTGTTAGTTAAAGTTTTAATACATTGTGAATAAGAAACAAGAACTTTAACTACATCTCGGAAACCAAATTTAACCGCAAAATGTAAAGGTGTCTCATTTAATCCTTTGTCAGGTGTATTTAAGTATAAATCTAGTATAATGTCTGCCCGGTCCACATAGCTTCTATTTCCTTCTTCACCATAAAACAATTGCATGAATTCTGTATCTCCTACGGTGCTTAATATCAATTCACACATATCTGCTCTACCAGTTTTAACAGCTATATGCAATGCGTTATATCGACAACCTTCCTATAAGAATAGATGATATTTGTAATTATTATAGTTCTATATAGTTATCTCTCTGTGATGCTTTTATAAATACAAAATAATTATATACTTGTAAAATTGCAGGTGTATCTCCACTGCCAATTAAATACCTAGGATTTGCCCAAATTGTATCTTTTACTGCATTTAAATCACCACTTTCTATTAATTTTTTAAAACATATAAGATCTTGAGATTTTGGAGCTTTAAAATTATTTGGTTTTTCTTCAATTACAGGGGTTCCTGCATTAACACTATTTTTGGCACAGTTGTATGTTTCTTCATGTCCACTTATAGCATATTCTTTAGCATCAAAATAAGACTTAAATGTTTTCAAACGACCTGTTTTATGTTCCTTTATTACTTTTAAAGCATCAATTTTGTTTGTATAAATATGAAGGTAATCTATAATATATAAATATATTAAAACTAACTTTGAGATATAATATGAAATTTTAAAAAAATGTATAAATAATGTTTTTAATTACTTTCTGTATTATTATCTAATAATAATCCATTGTTTTCATGTGGTATGTAAACAGCATGAAACTCATTCTCAATTGAGAGGTTATAATTTTTTAAATGTTCATTATCCATTTGAGACATTTTATCGTTATTATTAGTCAGATTAATTGTTATACTTTATATTGAATCATGCACATACTACATAAGACACATAGTTTAATAATAATCACAATATCTATTTTTAATACAAAAATAATGCCACAAAGAAAACAGTAGCAACTATATATCCAATAATAAAGAATGTATAATATTGTATGTATGAAAATACTAATAAATAGTCACGTTTGTTAAAATACTACTAATATATCATTCGATTTATAAATATAAATGAAAAATAAAAATTTGTGTTAAAACATTCTATTTGATTAAAATGAACTCTTAAAATTGTTAGTATCACGAAATTGACCAATCAAATATTATCAATCGTTTGCTTTTACACGTCACTTTTTAGTGGCCTTACATTCTAATATAATTACATGCATTTATCACAGACCTCGGTATTTTGTTAGTAAAATTAATGTAATCATTTTCCTAATTATATATCTTAATTATTTTTTCAAATAATAATGCAAAAATTTAATAACACTTTGAATTTACAATGGATATATGTTAGCATACATAAGAAATAAAAACTCGCGCGGGATCCAAATTTTAGTTCGTTTACAATTATAATAACGATATTATGTAACAAAAAATAAAAATAAACAAAATTATACAAAATAGAATAATTTCAATTTTACAATTTAAATTTGCAGAAAAATATGAAAAATATTTCAAACACTTTCAATTTGTTCTCTTAGTACTACAAGAAATTAGCGGTTGAATTATTGACTTTTTATTGGCTGTTGGTCATCTTTCTTTATTTTCTCGATCATCATTCGTGATTAGTTTTGCACTACCATCTCGCTGAATCACGTGTTGTTATTATTTGCTCTGTCTCACCGACAGCCATTGTGTGTGTACAAAGTAAGAAAAAACCATATTACTAAAAGTTTTCGGATATTCAATATCTTTTACTCACCCTTTTATTTATACACACATATATATTTTTTTTATTATTGTATATTACATTGTTAATTTACTTATCATTTTTGAAAGTTAATAGATCGTATTTTATTTACAAGTGCAACAAGTGAGAAACACATGTGACAATTGATTATTATTATTATTATTATATATATTATGTATTAGATTAATATTTAATTATGTTTGTTACTTATATTTTTCAGTTGTAAATAGAATTAAAAAATAAATAAAATGCAAGACCAATTAAAAGAACTGGCAATAGCCTTATACGATATTGGTGCTGTAAAATTTGGTGAATTTATTACCAAAGTTGGTCTAAAGACACCTGTATATTTTGATTTGCGTGTTATGATAGCATATCCTCAAATAATGGTAAAATTTCATATTATTATTACATATTACAAAATACATGTTTTAATTTCATTCAAAAAAAAATAATATAATGTTTCTCTTTTATGTAGTCTAAATTATCGAAAGCTCTTTGGCAATTGTCAAAGACTCAAATCGATACAATTCAACTTTGTGGAGTACCTTATACTGCTCTTCCATTAGCTACTTTGATTTCAACAGAATACAATATACCAATGTTGATAAAGAGAAAAGAAGCTAAGAACTATGGTACAAAAAAGCTCATAGAGGGTAATTTTAAATCAGGTGACCACTGCATAATAATTGAAGATGTAATTACAAGTGGAAGTAGCGTTTTAGAAACTGTACATGCTTTAAAAGAGGAGGGTTTAATTGTGACTGAAGTCTTAGTAGTAATTGATAGGGAACAGGGTGGAAGAAAAAATCTTGAAGATAAAGAAATTAAAGTGCGAAGTCTTTATGATGTAACATTGTTAATGAATTATTTGTTAGATCATGGTAAGGTTACACAAGAAATTGTAAAGGATGTAGCAAGTTATTTAAAATCTTGTCAAACATCTGTTGCCTCTTTGCCGGGTAATTATTTTTATATCTTTTTTCATATTTATAGTTATTTCTATTTAAAATAATAAAATTGTATACTCATTTCAGAACATTTAGTGAACAAAAGATTGGAAACACCATTTAGCATACGTGCAAATCAAACCAAGAATGCAGTAGCTTTGAAATTGTTTCAACTAATGGAAGCAAAACAATCTACTTTGTGTTTAGCAGCTGATTTGACAAAAACGAACTCTATTTTAGAATTGGTTGAACTCGCTGGACCACATATTGTGGTTTTAAAAATACATGTAGATATTATAGAAGATTTTTCTTCCAACTTTTTAAAACGTTTAAAGGAACTAGCGAAACAGCATGAATTTTTAATTATGGAAGATAGAAAATTTGCAGATATTGGTAATACAGTTTTATTACAATATAAAAATGGAATATATAAAATAGCAGAATGGGCTGATATTATCACAGTACATCCAGTTGCTGGGCCTACTATTATAGACGGTTTGCAAAGTGCCTTAAATGGAATTACTGAACCTCGTGGTATATTTTTGGTAGCTGAAATGTCTGCAAAGAACGCTTTAACTACTGGAGATTATGTACAAAAGGCATTATCGATTTCTAAAGAATCTGATATGGTGATTGGTCTGGTATGCCAATCAAATATTATTTCAGATTTAGGAATGCTTCAATTAACACCTGGTGTTAAATTATACAACAATTGTGATAACTTAGGTCAACAGTACAATACACCTGAATCAGTTGTTAATTCGGGTGCTGATATAGCTGTTGTTGGTAGAGGTATTATCGAAGCAACAGATCAATTAGCTGCTGTATTAGAATATAAACAACAACTTTGGATAGCTTATAAGAAAAGACTGTTGAGATAAGTAATATGTAATTAATATATATAAGAATTTTTCTATTGAATATATAGTACAATGAGCATAATTATATATATAAAAAAAAATCAATAAGTAAACAATTTTTGATATAAAAAGTTTTCAACGTAAATTGATTCAAACATATTATGTACATTTTATTACTTGTACAAGATAAGTTTAAAATTGTACTGAATCTAATACATATATAAATATACACTTTTTTTTTTTAGTGCTGGTGCTATGTAAAACATTTAATTTTGTATTAAAAAATATACATAATATTTAATTTGTATTTTACAATTTTATAATTTCAAGCCTCCTTACTTTTAGTTACTTCTTCAACTAATTTTCGGAATACTTGTGCCACTTGACTTTTTGGAAGAGTAATTAAGACACTTTGACCTTTATCTGCTAATCTACCAACCTGAGGATCTATAGGTACTTTAGCTAAAAATGGCACCTTAACCATTTCTGAAAGTGCTACTCCTCCACCTGATGAAAATATATTTGTACATTCCTAAATAAAAGAAGTAAGAAAGTAATATTTACTATTATGAAAAACTAAGTACTTAAATAACTTTTTATAGAAACACTTACTTCACAAGATGGGCAAACAAACCCACTCATATTTTCCACAATACCAATTATAGGAATTCCAGTTTTCCTACAAAATGTAACTTCTCTCAAGACATCGTCAACTGCAACTGCTTGTGGAGTTGTAACTAGAATTGCACCATCGCATTTGACATTTCTGAAATTAGCTTTTACTGACATGAAATTTGTATAAATAACGTATAAATGTTGGTAATGAATTCTTAAAGTATATAAGATACCATCAAAATCATAAAGATAATTTTTACTTTAAGTTTTCCATCACTGTGATATGTTCATCTGAAGTACCAGGCGGCGTATCAATAATTAAGTAGTCGATATTTTGCCATACTACATCTGTTAAAAATTGCTTAATCATAGCTGTTTTTTTAGGACCACGCCAGATAACACTATTATTTTGATTTTTTAATAAAAAACCAATTGACATAACAGACAGTTTCTGCTCTGTGTCAGCAAATACTGGTACCCAACTATAAGGCATATAAAATTGTTTATTTAACATACCATTCTTTCATTAAACTAAAAACTGATGTAAACAAATAATTAATAGAAATCTTTGGTTTACCCATCGGATGATTGATGTACATCTTTACCCTCTAAGTTTAATAAATATGGTACACTGGGACCACAAAGATCTACATCTAACAGGCCGACCTAATAACATTTTATTATTTACCCTTTTTAACCTAGTTGTACTTATAGATTACATTTTGACAACTCACATTAAACCCAGATTCTTTAAGTGCAAGGGCCAGTTGTGTACTAATTGTTGATTTACCTACGCCACCTTTCCCAGATAGAACTAATACAACGTGTTTTACTCCTTCTAACATTTCGTAATACAAAAATATAAACAAATTATGACTCCACTTATATAGTTTCATAAAAAGATATTCAATAATATAGTAACATACTGTATATAGTTTTCCCTAGCTAGATAGTATTGTGTTATACTAATCGATGTACGTATATCTAAGCATTGATTGGTTGAAACTTTTGCGTTTCATTTAAAAGTAGAATTTGAAATTGTATCGATTACATTGGAACTGAATAGATTGAAAGTTTTACAATTATTTATTATTATTAATGTTTAATAAATATTAATAGATTATAAAATTTAGTATAAGAAATGTATATTTTGTATATTTTTAAATTATTTCAAAGCAATATTTGAAACGTCACGCGATTCAGAAATAATCAATAAGCGGCGTGCACCTGTTTATGATTACAATGAAAAATGGTATCTATATTTTCCTTTTTATATTGAATATATATGTGTTTATGATTAAATATAAATTTGAAGAAGAAATATTTGTATATATACACATACATATTCACACACACATTAAATTTATTCTTAATTACAGATTTTGTCAAGATCAAAACCAGCCTCGTCAGAAGGAACAAGAAAATCTGTACCGCGTACTAATGTACCAAAGTTAGAAGAATTTTTGGAAAAACGTGATTACATTGGTGCTTTAACTCTTTTAGAATTTAACAGTACCTCTGGTAGTAACGTAGAATCTGAATTATGGATGGGTTATTGCGCCTTTCATCTTGGAGATTATAAGCGAGCTTTAACTATCTATCAAAATCTAAAAAAGAAAGATAATATTCTAGCAGATCTAATTACAAACTTAGCATGTTGTTATTTTTATCTTGGCATGTATCCGGAAGCACACCAATGTTTGGAAGAAGCACCTAATAGTAAATTGAAGACAAGACTTTTATTTCATTTAGCACACAAAATGGGCAATGAAGCAAAGTTGCTGGAGTATCATCAAATGTTACACGATGTTTTAGAAGATCAACTTAGTTTGGCATCCATACATTATCTTAGAGCACATTATCAGGAAGCTATTGATGTTTATAAACGGATATTACTTGATAACAGGTTGAGTATTCAATTGTTATATCAGAAACAAATATTAATTTAATGGAGAAAATTTAGAGCTAATATTTTGATAATTATGAGTATTTTTACATAAAAATAAATATTTTTTGGAATATTTAGTTTTTTATTTACTAATCAATTTTATATGAATTTAGCGAAGTGGATGAAAGAGAAGAAAACAATTTTATGCATGAAACTAAATCAGAAGTATATTTTATTATTCAATTAAAAAATTGCAGGTATCCATTTCCCATCCTATTTGCACCCTTAATATTTAATCCAATACTTTTCCTGTCATACACCTATATTGTTTATAACTATTATTTTTAATCAAACTATTTGATCATTTTGTAATAATACTCATTTTAAAAATATTTTCTAATGAGTATATGATTCTTTTTTTTGCAGAGATTATGTAGCTTTAAACGTATATGTAGCATTATGCTATTACAAGTTAGATTATTACGATGTTGCACAAGAAGTTCTACAAGTGTACTTGCAAAAATTTCCAGATAGTGCAATTGCAATCAATTTAAAAGCTTGTAATCATTTTCGTTTGTATAATGGAAATGCTGCGCAAGCCGAAATGAAACAACTTATAGGAAAGATATCAAGTTCTTTTAGTTTTGGTCATGATCTTATTCGTCATAACACTGTTGTAGGTACAACATTCTTTACTGATTAATGGAAAAAAAATATTATAAATAATACAAAATGATTTTATCTTTAGTAATATAATCAATATTATATAGGTATTTCGTAATGGAGAAGGAGCCTTACAAATTTTACCTAATTTAGTAGATGTTATACCAGAAGCTCGACTTAATTTGGTAATATATTATTTAAAGCAAGATGATATAAAGGAAGCATATGAGTTTATTAAAGATCTTGAACCTGCTGTTCCACAAGAATATATTTTGAAGGGCATAGTAAATGCTGTAATGGGTCAGGAAACTGGATCCGTAAGTTGATCAATTTTTTAAAATTAATTAGATTATTGTAATATAATTCGAAAAATAAAATAATAATTAATTTTAGCGTGATAATATAAAAACCGCTCAACAATATTTTCAATTGGTTGGTTCTTCTGCATCAGAATGTGATACCATACCTGGTAGACAGTGTATGGCATCTTGTTTTTTTCTATACCGTCAATTCGAAGAAGTTCTGGTTTATTTAAATTCGATCAAAACTTACTTTTCTAACGAAGATAATTTTAATTTTAATTATGCACAAGCACAATCTGCAGCAGGTTATTTCAAAGAAGCGGAAGAAGCTTTTTTGATGATACATAATGAAAAATACAAAAATGATTATATTTACATCAGTCTTCTATCTTATTGTTGTAAGTTTGATATGAATGTAATACAGATTCATATATGTATATTTTTATAAATAATTTAAATTTTTTTAGATATTATGAATAAAAAAGCAGAACTTGCATGGGAGTTATATTTAAAAATGGATACATCATCAGAGTCATTTAATTTATTGCAAATGATTGCAAATACTTGTTACAAAGTAGGTGAATTTTGGTATGCTGCTAAAGCATTTGATATGTTAGAACGTATGGATCCTAGTCCAGAACACTGGGAAGGTAAACGTGGAGCTTGTTGCGGTACATTTCAATATATCGTTGCAGAAAAGCAACCAAAGTAAGTTTTATGTATCATATGTTAGATAATAGGAAAAATATAGATTGATAAATAGATAAATTAATTTATAATTAATCGTATCTTCTTTTTTTTACAGAGATCTACTTTCTGAAGTAATTCTTTTACTCAGGAATACGTCTAATTCCCAAGTGGAACAAATTATTCGTGTTATGCGTAAATGGGGTAAAGATAATCGGATCAACTGTTAATGCTGTAATGTATAATGGTTTGATAATCAATTCCGTCCATTAATAGTCTTGTTTCCTATTTGATTGCGGTATACTATATTGGTACAATATATATATACTATATATTAATAAATAATTTCTTTCATATTTTATAAAAATATCGTTAATTTGTAATAATACAATGCAACAGTAATGGGACCAATATGAATGTTCAAAAAATGTTGTTAACCTGTTATGAAACAATACTGCTTCTGTGGTTGCTGATTTAATATAAAATAGATATATATTTAAACCGTGATACACACATTTGTATAATAATAATTACGATATAATAATAGTAACTTTTAACAAACATAATTGAAGTATTTTTAGAATGCCATTATTTGTGGCGTACTATTTTTCTTCTATTTTTGTGTACGATTAATCGACGTCCTGTAGCATAGACTTTAAAAATGTTTAAACATATTTATATATTATAAAGTAATTTGAATCATACACTTTTTCGAAAATATTTTTCTTGAATGGGTGCTACAATGAAATTAAGAAAGAAATTTTTTATTCTCAATGTTCTTAACATAAAAAAAATAACAACAAATTTCAATGTTTTAATTTTTGTCGTAATATTCTATGAAAAAAAAGAAAAGAAACGAAAATAACAAGTATATACTATTTTCAATAAAATTAAACTTAATCATTCGATTGATAAAAGATATTTTTCATTTTATTTCAGAAAATGCATTATTATTTAGCCAGTACTAGTACAAACATAGAGAAGGAGTGCCTAGTACCAATTATTTCTACATAGTTACATATAAAAATAGCACCAAAATGATTAACGATATACATACTAGCACGTTAATGCAAATTTCATTTTGTATGATATCGATTGTTCTCTGAAATACATATTATTTTTCGGCACTCATTCTCTAACTATGTTTTTATCTACATTTGAGTCTTCAGTACAGTCCGTCAAGTGAAATAACTTTAATAGTCCACACTAGTATTCAATTGTTACACTCCATAATTTAAAAAAGATCACTGTTTTTCAATTGCACGATACATACACTCATGTCAATATCCGTTTCATCAAACATTAACACTCTAGGGTCAAGTTGAAATTGATTATGCTAAAGGTGTAAATATAGTAGTAATAAAGCAGAAAGTATATGTATGTTCATTTAAATTCATTCACAAATTACACTTCCTTTCCATCACTCATTACTACATTCACGCATTCTTCCACACACATAGTTTTGAAAAGATTCTACGAATTTTGTGCTCCCGCTTTCGTACGTTCATATACATTACGATGAAAGTATTTTTTTTGGCAATTTGCTACCAGCCAATAAGGCTCGATGTTGTAGCATGGGCGGCGTTATCTACCGTATAAGATTAATTTTCAAAATTCTGTACATATAAGAGAGTAACTGTCAGATCATTACAGCGACAAATAGTATGCAATATCCTTATTAGCATCCCTTCGGAATACAGTTAGTTTTAAGAAACACATCCATACATGGTATTTTAATAGAAACTTTCTACTTCATTGTTTTTTTTTTTTTTTTGATATTGAAGAATAGTCGTCAGAAATTTTTTCATTTACAACACGACCAAACTAATTGTATTAACAACGATTATTATTTATTTTCATTTATTTAGTCAATGTAAATCCTTTTACTACTGCGTCTTCGCAAAAGTTAGGTCAATTGTAGAATAAGTAGTTATTTAAATGACATTTATATACTTGTTAACGTTAATTCTTCGTAATAACATTAATCATAGATGAACGACAAGTTAGCTGTTTTATCAGTTTACAATGTGATGAATGAATATTTTATTACGTCGTGACAATATTTCTTATCGTACGGGCATATCGAGAATTTTCTTCTTTTTTTTTTTTTTTTTGGAGTAATTCCTGTACTCGAAAGGATGATGGATGCTGCATTTATACATCAAAGCATTTATACGTAGCGTAGATTTGACCAAGCAAACGATCTATGCAACGTAAAAATGAATTCTTATACTGATAAATTAGACAATAAAGTAATAGTAAGAAAACGACTATTTAAACAATCGTGTGTAAGCACGATTATTGTAGTTTTGAACCCGTCCTTTAGAAAATCATTTTCTATTCCGTGTATCAAATGCAAAAGTATATATATATATATATATATATATATATATTCGCTCGTATTTGTACATGGAATTAGAAAATAAATTTCTATTATTTATTTAATGATTATAAAATAGGGTCCAATATTATTTATAGACTCGAAGATACGCAACGTGCTTTTGAATTTATACAGATCGTAAAAGAACATTGTTTGGCATTTATATATGGCGTTGTTAGGTGTTTAATGTTTAAGATTGAAAATCATCACATCTTTGGATGTTAAATGATTTTTTGAAAGATTGTTTAGAAACGAAGCGTCAAAGTCGGCAGCATGAGCTTATACAGATAAATTAAACTAATTGTAAGACATTAATTTTTTTTGTATAATATATCATATACATTTTTAGATATTAGGCTAAACTAATTTTGAACCGAAGACAAAATTTAAAGGAGATGCGCGTAAAAGCTACTAAATCCTCTTTTCTTTTCCTAATAACACAGAAAGCAAATATATTAAGATACAGGGTTTCATGCTTCTATATATAAATAATATTTCGACGAATGATTGTAAATGCACATATACATACTATATTATTGTTACGTGTGAATATTTGAAAGTAATACTTATAATAATTAAAAATGCGATTCTCTTAGGATAATAAAAATGCATTTAAACGAAATTCAAGAAAATGAAGTTCGTTAATATTGCTACAATGTGATTTTAATACTTTAATGGGAACTAAATACAAGATATAATTTTTACAGATTTTTCAAAATCTTTAACTTATTTTTAGGAGATCTTAAATAAATATAGCGCATTCCACTTAAACGATTCTCGTAACGATATAACGTATACGAAAAAGTAGAATATGAACACAGTTTGTTAAACATGTATATGTTTGGTGTATATATGTGTATATTAAGCAAGAAACTCTGATCTTTAATATAATTCACCTTCGATTTAACGAGCATACGTTGGATTGTAGTTCGTTAAACGATCAGTCGTGCGATTATTGATCGTCCCGCGATTCGCAACTATTTGAATCTTCAACGCCACCAGTTTGGTGCCATTTCTTTGTTTTATCGATTTAAATGAATAAGTCATATAAATCGTCGGTTAGTCTTCGATCATAAAATCATTCCGTAATCTAGGACAACTTCTCTTCCGTAGGCAACGACCATTAATATATCTTTCGATTATTCTTCTCGAGGAAGAAGAAAGCCGTCGAAGAATATCATTATTCTATCTCAGTCTATTTCTTATTTTCCTTTTATCTTCAAAACTTGGTCTTTAATAATAATAATAATAATAATAATAATAATAATAATAATAATAATAGTAATAATAATATAGTAATAATAATAATATAGTAATAATAATAATAGTAGTAATAAAAATAATAATCATAATCACATCATCATCATTATAATGATAATAATAATAATAATATTAATAATAATAATAATAATAATAATAATAATAATAGTATTATTAATAATAATAATGATAATAATAATAATAATAATAATATTCTCGCGTTTGGCCGATCCGTGGCACACCTAAGAACAACGATGATCAAACGTAGTCTCGCTTGCAAGCGGACTGATTATTCTTTTTCTTTTTTTTCTTTTTTTTTAATGACCTTTTGTAACTGCGCGTAAGGCTGTGAGTTGCTACACTGTTAAGCGCTGCCTTCGTGCATGCCACGGTACTTGTGTCCTAATTTCTATCCCTGAAAATTAATTTCGAACATTTCAATGATTTATATTTTATTAGCTTTAATATTTATTGTTGGTTGATATAATGGAAAAAATATGAGAGACTCACCCTGGCCCAGGATAGTAATAAGGAGGTGGACGTTCGTATTCTGTACTTAAGGGAGGAGCAACGGTAGCGGGTTGATATCTTGGTGGTCCACCATTTGGAAAGTCCCAATTTCTAAAATAATAATTTGGAGATAAAAAAGTAAGGAAGGCCTCTTCTATGTGTGTGTACACGCCACGTACGCAAACATTTTACGTTCGTCGTTTGGTTCGTGACGCGACACACGAAAACAGATCGCATTTGCATTCACAATTAAACAAATTAAATGTAATGAATAATTCGTCAAACATTTATAAAGTATATGATAACCCTTTGCAAATATTATAAAGATGCCTTAGCAAACAAACGATCGATATAGCAGCTGTTCAAGCAAAACGAAATATATATCTTTGAGCTTGGGACTCCTTAATGATCGCGGGATTGATACCCCACGTAAAATTTGCGTCACAAATCTTTGTATTTTATCATCGAAATTAATAATAAGTCCTAGAAATGACTTTTCATTATTATTTATTTTAATCTCTCCTATTATTAGTATTTAACTTAATAATAATAATTAAAGGAGGCCATCCTTATTTATTTAATTTTGTTGATTAAGTGATCAGTTTTCTCTTCTGTATTAGTTAATTATAAATAAAAAAAAAGGAAAGAAAAAGAATCTCGAATTGGTAACATTTTAGATACAAATATTTTGTAACACTTTATGTGGGCTACCGTCTTTCATTTAATACGTATGTATATAATTTGTGTCCGCGCGTATACATTGTAAATGTGTAGTATGTATAAATATAATAAACATGCTTTCGCGTTTATTTTTTTTCTCGCTAAAAATAACACGGCCACAAATAATGCAATCAAAGAATGATAGATATGCGCGTTTGTTAAACAGCACATGATATTGCGTAAAAAATGGACGACATGTATCAAGGACAAATAAAAAAAAGCATCCGCTGGGTTTTTGATATTTTGAATCTTCTTGAAAACGCACGCGAAGCCCTTTTTTTTCTTTTCCGCAAGAAGCCTGATCTTGGCAAAGCTATCTTGATAATATCATATATAGAGACAGATACGTATGTATTTATGTATGAATGTATGTATGCATGTATATGTATAATGATTAGAATTAAACAAAGTATGATAGTATTATAAAATGATAAAAAGAAGAGAATTAGAAGAAGTAATAGTAATAGAAGAAGAAGAAGAAGAAGAAGAAAAAGAAGAAGAAGAAGAAGAAGAAAAGAAAAAAAAAAGAATATAGAAAGATGTGAAAGATCAAGAAAGGAGAGAAAATAAAAGGAACGAAGACGATTAAATGAAAATTGTGTTAAAACATTTGTTAACAATAGTCTTACGACTTACGTGCAGAGGCGTATCAAGAGACGCGAGAAGTTGCCCCCCCCGCAAGGTTCCCACTCACCTGTAAATAACCGGGAGAAAAAAGCGTGACCAACGTGGTTGCGTGATAGGGGAATATGCGTCGCTGATATTGATAAATTTCAAAAGCAGAGTTCGGAGATTACTTAATTATTTAAACGAGGGCGTGTTCAGAGCGTTTAAAAAGAAAAAAGGGATTAACTCGATGAGTGGGAACCCAGCATGTATTTGAATATATATTTATATATGATACAAATTTAGATTAAAAAGATGCATCTCTCTCATCTCGTACGTTCCTTCAACTTTCGTATAAGGTATCCCCAAGTGTAAGTAAGTAAATATAATGTACACGTTACGATATAGTTAAAAAAAAAAATATATATATATATATATATATATATATATATATATATATATAAGAAGAAATAAAAAGCAAAAGAAAGAAAGAAAGAAAGAAAGAAAGAAAGAAAGAAAGGAAGAAAGAAAAAAGAAGAAGAAAGATCAAGGAAGTAATTAAGTATATGCTCGAGATAAACAAAGTGCGGCATTTAAGTTATCACAGAAAGCTGCGCTTTTCTTATGTCTTTAATTTTTTTGTTTATATATATATATATATATATGTTTCAAGTTTCGCTCCTTTCGTTTTTATTTTTCTTTTTGGCTCATAGAAAACTTACTGCGACTCTAGCGATACACTAAAGACTTTATTGTGAGGTTCACTTTTAGTAGGGGCGATATGTTCGTGGTTACGCCACGATAAGGTGAAACTGTAAAAATAAATCATATTGTGACTGATGGAAAAAATGAAGAAAGAATAAGAAGAAGAAGAATTCACGATAAACTTTTTTTTCTTATCCGAAAGCGTTAGTAATTTATTTGGGAATGACAGGTGTTAGATTCGTATTAACACTTGTTAAAGGAATTTAATAATAGGATAAAGTTTCGAAATGGAAAGTGATTAATGTTTTATTTACAGAAAAAAAAAAAAACAGAAAAAAGAAGTACAGAAAAAAAAAGAAAGACAAAATTGCGGAATATTCTAATATGCTCGAGATGAACGACGCCGTTTGTTATTTATTTATTTTTTTTTTTTCTTTTTTCTAACAATAAGAAAAATTTTTAGGACGAGTCGTTAAATAAAATATTCCTTGCACGATCTTTGAGATTACTTACTTCGGCGCTAAATCGGAGTATCTAGAATCGTGATGGGATGTACTTTGATGAGCATCTGTGACCCTTTCACGATCGCTGTATCCAACAGCTGGACCATCGTAACTTTCAACGTAAGCCGCGGGATGATGTCTGCCATGGGAGACATGTTTTTTATCATGTACGCTGTAATCAAAGGATAAATTAGTTAATATTTGCTTTGACGATGATAGATAAGAATAAAAGTGAGCAAGTGAAAGACTGCGTGAGGCATATCGTCATGCGAGTTAACAGATCTATGCACAATCTGTATGCTTGCATCTGCGTGCGTGTTGCATCTGCCTTAAACAGCTTTCATATTTCGTTGTGAAAAATATACATATATATACATATACATCTTGGTCCAATGATTTTCACTGATGTACGAGGATAGACCTAACGTCTGCATTGCATTTTACAATACGTACACAAAATGCCAGAAGCCATTATAGATGTTAAACTGGTAAAACATCATCTCTCAGTAGCAAAGCTTTCAACAGGAATTATCTGACATTATCGCAACGCTGTGTTAGTTATTTAAAATGGGTTTAAAAACAGAATCTAAAGAAAATTGGAAGAATATTAAGAAAATTACACATAGTGAATACAATAATATCGAGTATATGCACACTACGTGAGTTATTTGTTACTTTTTTTTTATTTTCATGCAATTAACATAGAAGATATTAATGAGCTAGGAAAAGAAAGAAAAATATAACGCTTGGGATATTATTTCTTAAAACGTTTATACGATAAATAATATACTTGTACGAAAACAGGGAAGTGAATATATACGTTTGATTGGTAAATTAATAAATATAAAATATGATATAATAAAAACATTTCAAAATTTCGGGCAAAAAATTAAAACGAAAATACATAAATACGTTTTATTAATACATGCTAAGATTATCATTCTCGTCATGCGAACACTTTGATTGTTCACTTTATTTTATACTTACTGAGCGAGGGGTATGTTATCCCTGTCTGCGTACGCGTCATACAAATAGTCACTGGAACGGAGCGTGTTAGCAGTTAGATTCCAACAACCATTCCACACATTAGAAAGCTACTTTAAATTTAATATCAGCTAATGCCATGTACTTGATACAGAGATACAATCATACGTAAGAATTGACATCGTTATTTTTTGTCGGTCTCCATAAGTTTTCTTTAAACAAATAGAATGTTGAAACAGTGTGTACGGAACATTAATACAAAATTTAACAAAAAACAAAAAGAAAACAAAAAGAGAGAGAGAGAGAGAGAAGAAAAATAAGTATCGAAATTAAACGATAAAGCAACGTTCGTTGCAGTTTTTTGATCGTTGTTTTTTTTGTAATTTATACAGTTACAAAGATAACTTATTAGAGGTATAAAGTACTCATGCCGACTATGAAAAGAAAAAAAGATACGAAGCGCGAGTATGTGTGATACATGCTATGATTTATGAAAGCTTCGAGTCACTACAAGAAAGAAGAAAAAGGATATAGAAGAAAGTTTTACATCGAAAATATCCTCGATGATTAATTGTTAGAGAAAAACAGGTTATGCAAATTGTTTCAGATTACAAGTCTCTTGTAATCTTACTTATGTATGATGATACTTTAATCCTTTCCCGTGTTACTTAAAAAAAAAAAAAAAGAAAGAAAACTGTTAAAAAGGGGGAAATAAAAAACTAAACATAAATTATACATTAATGGTTACCTTATTTTTAACTATATATAAAAAAGTAAAATTACAACAAAGAAAACATTTAAACGTCGGACAGGTTTATCATGCGTTTCAACGATACTCAAATAACCGTTTAAAAATTGGTAAAAAAAGATACGTTTTACGTGTTATCATAATTTATAAGATAATCGTGAAAAAAACTTACTTTTCGACAAGAGGTCCTGGATATGGATCGGACTTTTGATACAAAGCACTCAATTTTACGCAAAGTACTATCGTTGGTAGGAAAAGGATCAAGCACCAACCAACACTTGCCCAGAAACCATTCTGTAAAAATCAAAGATACGAATGTACTTTAAAAGATTTCAAATTCGATAACACGCGATATGAATATCAGAAGAATGTTATCAGTGATTAATCTTTAATTCATTATTTATCAATAAATTGTGGATTTTTATGTACTTAAAATATTTAAGATATGTAATAAGTATAGTGAAAACAAATGAGTTATAATAAATGTTGTATAATTTGTTTTTCGTTGAAAAACAATTTGCGTTAATTTGTTGCAGCTATATCAATATCGCGTTGAAAGATTAAATTAATTTATTTTATGTTGATCGTGTAAATCGCGCAAATTATTACACATTGTCAGCCTGAAATTGATCAATCTACTAATCAAATTTACTTACAAATGGATCTAAAATCTTATTGCATCCAGCTACAAGAGTTGCGTTGTAAGCATTTGACACCGGTTGACATCTGCCAACTTTGTTTTGAGCACTGTCAATTACATGCTCGAGGAAGTCGTCAACTTGATGAAGAAAAGCGTTACCAAATTTCGTAGCAAGCTATGGAGAATAAAATTTAATTAAAAAATATGTTTTAAGTAACACCGTATTGTATGTAGAAAATGCTAAAAAATTAATGTGTGTTAAAATAATTATTTAAAAAAAAGAAAACTTACGTATTGAACGTATTCCGGTCCGTCCTTGTTTAAAAATGTTTGAGCTTTCGTAACTTCATCGACCAAGTTGTGAATAGCCTCGGCCATCGAGCTATGATTAAATTTGATACTTTCTTGAAGAGCTAACGCATTCTCGCTGAGTTTCTCGCTTAACGTTGCCATAGGTACCACAAGGTCTCTGTGATAATGTTCCAAATCATGAGCATTCTTCAAAAGGCTATCTTTTATGTTCTCTTGGTTTGACGACAATTTTGTGGACACATCTCTTAATTTCGACGCCAGGTGTTCCAAATTAATATTTGTTATATTGTCGGCAAGAAGTTCGGCATACTGATAAAACTTGATATCGCTCAGACCACTTTGCGCCAGATCGTTGAGTTTCGATCTGGCGCTCTCCTTCAGAATCACTACACCTGGTGACAGATTTATCTTACGACGCAACTGTTGAATCGTGTTATTAATGTCGTACCGTCCTGCATAATTGCGTAAGGTATCGACGTCGAACAAATTGTTCAGCTTCAATACGTTGTATAGAGTCTCATTAGCGTGACATTTGCTAAAATCAAAATTCGATTAATTTTCCATCTCCATATTAAATGTTAAGAAATATATATATTTAGTCTACAAATTAGCGAACAATTAATATTTACGTGATTATGTAGCTCATGTTGATATCAAAATTAGGATTTTTGGGATCGAATATTTTTCGGATCTGCACTATCTCGTCTACTAATTTGAACATTCTATTGTCCTTTGGATTTTTTAATGGTTCACAAATACCTCGTTGGGCTAAAACTCCTGTTATCATATGCACCACTGTGATTACCATTAAAACACTTGTCAAAAGGAAGATTATCCATACGGCCCTACAAATAAAAGAAAAACAAAACACGTATAATTCTTTTCCGCATGTAACAGGAAAATAAACGGAAGAATTTATAATGCCGGGAATTCCTATGAAACTTACATCATAAGAAACCGTGCACCGGATCCTTTATTACAACAGTCATCACCGTATCCATCCGGTCGTTTACCGCAAATTCCGCAAAGGAGACCAAACGTTAAGCACATTAAAACGGTCAAAAGAATACCCGAAATTCCAAGGCCAAGATAGTACCTAAAAAAATGGATACAATAATCGTTCTCAATATGATCTCATGTTAATTTTGCTATTACTCAATAATTACCTATATGGCGAGTACTGGACGACGTAACTACGTGCCACTTCTAAATGTTGAATGTTAACCCTGTCGATGTTGACGTTTATTCTATCGATTAAACTGGTCATGTTGTTTGCTATGCTTGCCAGAAAATCACCAGCTCTTCTAATGCTCGCGCTAACGACAGGAATCGTTTGATTCACCGCATGCTGTATGTCCTTCTGAATTTTTAAGAAGGATTCTCTACCCTGACTCACTTCCGACACGATATTACTTTCCATCAGTATGGTAATGTTATGAAGAGCGGATGTAAGGTCTGGTAGCTGTAAATGATACGTGAATAATTGTGATAATGACTTATTGAGTTCTCAGCATCATTATGAAGAGAGAGAAAGAGAAAGAATGAAAGAGAGAGAGAGAGAGAGAGAGAGAGTGAGAGTGAGATAGAGAGAGAGAAAGAGAGATAGAGAGAGAGATCGTGAGGTCAAAAGATTCGTGTGAGATCGGGCTTCTCTTGCAAGATGAAAACGTGCGACACATCGAAATCGTGTATATGATTATGCTACATAATTCTAATACCGATATCCATGCTCTTATGATCTTTCGATGAGTTAATGAATTTTGTAATTATAACGAACATCTTGACAATTTGGTCCATGATGATGATTGATTGATGAAAACGTGAATTGAAATTGTCAAATGTAGATATATTTGAACGTACTGTTACTTCGTTCGGTCATCTAACGTGATTCTGAACGGTATGTATGTATGTATGTATGTATGTAGCTTTTTTTTTAAAATTTAATTTCAAGAAAGATCTTCGATCTATTCTTATAGTTAGATGACAATCACGGTGTCTGATATTAATCGCAATGATTTGTATAATTAGATTTAATTTCGATCTTCTGACCATACACTTCTCTTATAATTTTCATCAGTATGCCCTGTATTTAATTTCTGCTATACTTTACACATATGGAGTGTACTTGAACGATGTATTCTTTATTATACTTGTTCACATTAAACGCTGCATAACAGTACGTGAAGTTGATGAGACGATGATGAAAATGATGATAATGACGACGGTGCTCCATCCATATATATCATATACTCGGTGGGACAGTTAACGTTAAGAGATACATTATATTTTTATAGAATGGGAATGAGTATTCTCGAAATATTATTTTCACGTTAATATCAATTATATGCGATGTTGTAATTAACGTTAAAGGTAACTGCCACCCTTTGTATATGCATGTATATATAATATATATATGTATATAAATATATTTATGTAAATGTAAATTCGAAGGAGTTCACAAGGCAACAGTATGATCAAATGAATATAACACTATTCTACGTCTATAACACTATATTCACGTAAAAGTTAGAAAAAGAGATAGAGAGAAAAAAAAAAATAATAATAATAATAATAATAAACATAATATGAATGATGTTGATAGAGAAGGCAAAAAAATAGAATAACCACAAGATAAGGTTTAATTAAAATACATTTGCAAGTGCCTTGCACGTTAAAGCTACAAAAGAAAAAAAAATGTTTCTTTTCTCTCCTTTTTCTTTTTCTCTTTTTTTTTTTTTATCTTGTTTCTTCTCGTATTTGGGATACGTGTAATATACGTGTAAACGTATGAGAGTGATTTTTTTTTTTTTTTTGGGGGGGGGGGCGGGGGGCTGGATTTCCATAATCAAAAAATATATATTGTATATATGTATATAAAGATAAACCGACAAGAGGAATTTCATTAATAACGCTAGACGACAACATAGACGAGAGAAAAATAGGGAAAAGCTACATGCTTTTGCTTACGACTTACAGAGTGAAGCTATTGTGGCGGGCATGGAATCAAACAAATTTATACAGTATCGTTCTCGTACACCAATGGCTAGACGAGTATAGTATATTTATATGTATGCACATGTATATTGACTTTTTATTTTATTTTATAGTGCGATAAGAAACTCGAAATATAACATTTAAATATCTCCACTGTTTTTTTGAACACAAAAAAAGAAGAAGAAGAAAAAGCGATAACAAAAAATTATTGATTTTTATATTATTAGTATGCTATATAATACAAATAATATAATTATTTTTTTGTTTGTAATAATTATATATTAAAACAAACTTAAAAATGTAATTAAAAGTATTTTCAGATTTGCAAATTACTACGGACGTTAAAGATTTCATATAATTGGTATCGTTAATTTGTTATTTCTCAATTTCCTTTTTTTTATTATAAACGTAAAGAAATATTTTTATATCAAAGGAAAAAAGAAAAGAAAATAATCAAACACGAATATTTTCACAATTAAATTCAATTAATTATTCATAATTAAGTAAACAGCTGTCGTGTGTTTCATACGTAGTAAACGATAACGGAGATACTTAAGTGTTTCGTTTCAAGTATGCAATTCATTTTGACTATATTAATTCATACAATGACACGATTATCACTTCCATTGGCCTACGATGCGCACAGATAATAATTGCAGCGCATATTTATAATCGAACATGATCGATAATTACTATGGTTTAAAGACCGTACTCAAAAGAAGCGTATTACATAAGTTAACAAAATAATGTCATGATATACAGGTAATTCCTTCTTTACAAATTTGTTGATTTTTAAATGAACGATTAGAATGAGTCAACTTGTAAAGGTGGAAACTACCTATAAAATAGTGTTAGAAAAATGATCTATCGATTTTGATTACTTACTCGAACGTAAATTCTTTTACTTTCGGTTCTACTTTCATTTATTATATTTCTTAATTCATTTTAATTCGTTACAAGCAGCGTAAAAATTAAAGCGAACAAAGGATATGAGAGATAGAATCCTGATAACGAGCCTATTACTTTCGATACACCTAAAAGAATTTCTTATATTTTCCATTATCTAAACTCAATTGTAGCTAACTAAAGGAAGAAAATGAAAGTAGTATAAAAGAATGCTCGTGATTCGTGTTATCGAGTCATACCTTTGGGAAGTATCGGTCCATGTACTGCATGTAAAAGCGAAATAACGTTTGTTAGAAAAAAAAAAAAAATATTAGAAGCTCGTTAAAAGCTCATTAGAAGCACAATGCATAAAATAATAAGTACGTACCTTGTCGAACTCTATTTGGACCGACATTTGATTCACCTTGTAGTCGTGCAAGATCTGTTTACAGTTGTGGCTCGTACAATCGCGAAGCGTATAAAGCAGATTGTTCTTGACACCGCGCACAACTGCAAGAATGAAAGAAGAACAAAAAAAAAAAAGGAAGAAGAAAAAGAAGAAAAAAGAAAAATAACGAACGAGAAGAAGAAAAATAGAAGACAAATCGAGAGAGAGGAAAGAAATTATATCATTCATTTTTAAAGATAACAAAAATTGTGTAACTCAACGCGAGTAAAATGAATACGTACCGATGTCCAATTGAGTAGCGTTCATCCTCAATTCTTGCGTTATCCTATTCATAGAACGTAGCTCTTCCCTGATCGATTCCAAACCGGTCACGATGTCGTTCAAATTTGTCAAGGAAACCGCGTGAGAATACTCGGCTAATTGCTCGGTTACTATTCTCCCGCTTGCTTGCAATATGTTGTTCAACGTGATTTCTAATTCGCCGTAATTGGTTTTGAGAACGGTGTTTATCTCACGTTTTGTCGTGGATAAATAAAGCCTAACGTCTTTTAAATTAGTTTTAACGTTGCTAGGAAGTTCCTTGGTACCGTCTTGCATATATTCGTTCGTAACGAACGCGCAAACAACGCCGAATCTATAAATTTGTTAAAACAGAAAAGTATTTAATTTAAACGTCTCTTTTTTTATAAAAAAAAAAAAAAAGAAGAAAAGGGAAAGAGGAAATAAACAAAATAAATGTAGGAAAACTCACAGAATAATAGTTGCCACCCCGATGAGAATAATGCTGAGCATTATTTTTCTACAATGATCGTGCTTTTTATCGAAGGGCTGATTTTTGGCTCCGCAATGTCCGGCGCATCTGCAGCAGCAAAAAAAAAGGCCGATGCAAGGAAGAATGGCTGCAAGGAGAACTCCGATCAAAGCGAGACCGGCTAAACCACCGTAATGGGTCACTATTATCTTCCACTGGTGCCAAGGATCCACGAAGACTGGGGTGTTGGATATTACGGTGATCATTCCTACGATATAGGCACTTATATTATTATTTAATACAAATCTACGCTGACATATAAGTATGCGCTTAAAATTAATAAATAAATTTGCAATATATCAATTATTTCATTGAAACATTAAATATCTTCTTCTTCTTCTACTTTTTATTATAAATGTTATAATAGATTTTTTATTGCTATTTCCGGGAACGATTTATTGTTTTTACACCGTGGGTAGGTTGTTAGCTAACCTCACCCTCGAAACATTAAATATAATCTTGAAATAATCCGTAAAATATATATATTAGGATTGTTTCAAAGGGAACACGAGGAAACGTGCTGAAATTAGAGAATAAGAAAGGGATATATATGTGTCATGAAAGTACATTTTCCATCTGGCATCAGATACTCTGCCTTTTTCCACGTCGAGAGGATAAGGAAACGAGGACACGTTCCTAATGTGGGCCACAGTTAGAGAGAGAGAGGGAGGGAGGTAGGCAGATAGAGAGAATACCGAAATGTAGAAGGGTTGGAAAACAACTGTGAGACGAAGCCGAGAAATTTATATCCTGGCAACACTAATTTAGGAAAATAGGTCAACGCTTGCTGATGTTTCCCAAGGGAAGGGAAGGGGGGGGAGGGACTCAACACACATAGGAATTAAATTTCAATTCATCGAGAGAGAGAGAGAGAGTTTTTATCGATAATTTAGAAAACGTTGACACGGTAGATAAAAAAAAAAAGATAGGTAGGAAACACGATAATATCAATAACATTTTAATCAATTGAACGATCGATCGCGACAATCGTTCAAAATTATTAAAACATATTAATTTTGATCGATCGCCTTTGTTTTTTTTTCTTTCTTCTAACAAGGACGGACGAAATACTCAAGACATTTCTCTTCAGACACGATCGATTGTAGTTTTTGCAATTGGCTTAATAGACGAATCACGAAACGTGCTCCTTTTGAACGGTAAACGTGAATGCGAGCACTGTTAGAAGAGTTGGTCGATTCAAAGCGGAGGCCACTGTCAATCAAGTACCACGAAGCGTGGTACGGAGAGCCACGTTTCGAGGGCATTGCTAGTTAGCGATAGTGAACGTTAATAGTTAACGAGAAAGAACAGAGAATAGATATATATACGAACTATACACGTATAGTTCGACATGGCAATGGCTATTACTCGTTGGCGTTCCTGTACATGTATGTATATATATATATATATATTTATAAATAAAATAGGGGAGAGTATTGGATGCAGGAAAATACTCATTGTGAGGTACATCCCGAACGAAAGAATGAAAGAGAGAGGAAAAGAGAAAGAGAGAGAGAGAATAGGGATGTAAGGGCGGAAGTATAGAAAGATCGTAGTATTTCTATAACAGCGATTTTTCTATATAGAAAATTATTATTTTGACGTCAATAATATATATATATAAAAATGAACAAGTTGAATTTTCAATTCAATATAAGCGAACACCCTTGACGTAGAAAGTGAGTAATATTTTTTTCCCTATAGTTCTACATGCACGTGTCCCTTATCTCTTATATCCTATTTAATCTTCTTTATCCTTAGATCTATGAGAGCCAGAGAGAAAGGTCGTAGTTTAAAAAAGAAAGAAAAAAATACACACGTTAGATCGCGTGAAACGAAAAGGACAATCTTATTTTAGATAGATTAATTAAGGTATAAATGCGAAGAATAAATCGATCGTATTTTATAAATTCGTTCTATTCGTTGATTAATCCTGCGAATAAATTTTCTTAGTTATAAAGGAGTGGCTAGGAAGAGAATGTAACCTCGCTCCGTCATGATTTTCGAGAAACTAGGACATCGCAATTCGATAAGATAGCACGATAAATCTGACCCATTTTGTGAAAAACGACTCAGAAAGGTAATGAACTTTCTCTGTTTCTCTCTCCGTCTTCTTATAAAATGAAATGAATTGTTCTCATTGAAAATGTTCCCTTAAAACTTCATTATTACTTGCTATTAGACTTAACAAACATGTACTTAAACTTTAGAGTATCTTAAATTTCGATTACGATAAAATATATCATTAGTTTGAAACTTTAAAAGATAATAATGATTACAGAAAAAGAAAAAAGAAAAGCACCATAAATTATCGTTATTCTTTTTTTTTTACCGAATGATTCACCATTACGCCTAATTTTTCATTATATATTCTTTCATTCGTTACAATAATAAATATTATAATAAACTATCAAGAAAAGGAATGTATTGTTGGTAGCAGCAAGTAGGGAATAAATCATTTCGACTTTGGTTAATCTTTAAAAGTTGGTAGACTTCTGGCGCGGCAAACTTTTGGAAAATTCAAGAGCAGGAACAGGAAAGCCGCAATCTCGGATAGAAGATAGTACAACAAACTGAAATGTCTTTAAATATTAGAAACTCTCACAACAATGTAGTTTCCTTTGCTGTACGTCTGCAGAGAATGCTAGTGAAACAAGAGAGAAGAAATAGAAGAAGAAAAGCTGGGTTTTCGGTTGGCATTGATGCTTGTAAATTATAAGTGAGTAGTGGTACCGTCAGAATATTCTGACAACTAGTTGTTGCAAGTATGCAACAACGAGAGTATCCACTATCGTCGTAGTCGTAGTCGTCTTCGTGCGAGAGAGCTCTCGATCGATTTCTTGAAAGTCATTGACCTCGACGGTTATGCTAATGTTCCCAACCGTGGGTTTAGGTCGCGGTCTTTTAACCACCTCCATGGTCACATCTAACATAATTTTACATCTTCTCTCTCTCTCTCTCTCCTTTTCTCTGACAATCCTTCCAAAATTTTTCTTCCTTTTCATTCTATCGATTTACTTTTAAGATGTGCATTGATTATTATCAATTTTTATTAAAAAAAAAGTATTTGATTTTTGTCGACTAGTCGAAGGGACATAATGAAGAATAAGAACTCAAAAACAAGCTAAAGGATGATGATGATAATAATAATAATAATACTAATCGATCTTTTTTAAAGCTAAAGGTTAGAAAGCGATTGTCGATGGGATTTAAAATCTGTTCTAGGAGGCACTTTGCCCTATTATTGGAATTTTCCATAGGATGATCTTCGTACGGTAGTTTCCGCTATTATTACATTAATGAAGAAATCCATTAGCCTTTCGACAAGGCAAATATTGGTACATCGACAGATTCGGATTGGATGTCAATCTGCTTTATTAAATTGCTTACTTCATCTTATTTTTAAATTATTTTCACAGGCTGAGATAGAGAAAGAGAGAGAGAATCTCTAGCAATTATATTATTCGATCATAAGTTATTAGTTGACGCTTAATATGAATTTTGAATTAAAATGGATTAATATTATCGATATTGACAATTCAAAATTACGCATATTTATGTGGGTAAGAATTATCGATTACTTTCTAAAATCTTTATGTGAATTTTAATAATAATAATAATTATTTATCAATAAAAAAAAAATAACGTAATTTCTTTCTCTTTTAAATCCTAAATGAATTACAAATGATTAAAATTGTATGCAGTTTTATATCGAATGAGAGTATATCACAATAAGAACTTATATTTAATATATTTATAAAAATAAATGCATTTCTCTCTTATGCATTTGTATATAGAAAGAGGTTGTGAAAATATTGTTTTTTTAAAAGATGCGTTCGTTCTTACGTGAAAAAAAAAGTAGAATAAACTCGTTCTTTTTTTCAAGTATATTCGATGGTCTGGAATCCCCTTTAACTGTCCCTTTCCTTCCTCCCTCCCCCCCTCACCTCATTTTTTTGTCCTTCTTACATTGATGCTACTTCGTCCACTTTCGGCTTTCTATTTCTCCCTCTCTCTCTTTCTCTCCCTTTTTCTCTCCCTTACTTTCTCACATCTCATTATTTTCGAGAACAAAGTACTTCGCGCTTTTTTTCAAGTTAAAAAACACAGAGCAGCCCTACTAGTTCGTCATCCTGCATTCTTTCATCTCTTTTTTAAGTCTTTCTTTCTCTTCCTCTCTTTTATATACGAAGAAGAAGAAGAAACATTACGTTTGGTAGAAAGAAGATAGGAGATAAAGCTACGACGACGAGCTGCCAGTAAAATCAACGAATGACGATGCTAATGTAACGAGTTTATTGTCTGATTATACATTACTCTGCTAATCTACATTTAAGTGAAACCCTTTTTTCCTACACATTTATACGTAAATGGGTATGTATATAATTATTTAAGTCAATGGTTACCAAAGTGTGACCGCTTTAGTACCCTGGGGAATCGCGAGTTCCTTTACAAGAGCGTCGAAAGATATTACACAATTTTGTATTATTTTTTAATTCCATTTGTGCGATTTTTTATTTTTACGAAGTTGAGTTTTTCGGTAATTGCTATAATAAAAAATTTAATATTGTAAGTAATTTAATTCAACAATTTGATAAAATGCGTGATGACATTCAACAAGACTTATACATCCCATTAATTATTCCAATTAATGTAACTTTTTCAATTATCTACAATTTTTTGTAAAAACGTATTATTTATAATATTAGAATTTGACATAAGACGCTTTGGGAAAATCTGGATTCAACAAGGCCGCCGAGAAACGAAAATGTTTGAAAATCATTGATGTATTAAGTAACATACGTATATCTTTGAAAAATTGTGATTATGCATTATGAATAATAATTAATTACACGATAAAGTTATCGTAAGGATATTTAAACGAACTCCTCTTAATGACAGATAAAGTTCAATTTCGTTGTGAAGAGATCAACGAGTGTGGTAAAATACAACTTAAAGCAGCTTATGATAGAGCGTTACTTTAAAGGCATTCGTAAAGTGTAAAACGATATGTAAGTAACCTTATCGTCTCTCTCTTTCTCTCTCTATATATATATATATACATACATGTACAGGAACG